GACAAAGTGTGTGTGTGTTGGGGGGGGGGGAGAGTGGCATTATAAGCAGTTATGGGGCCCCATTGGGCAGAAAAGTGGGGTGTCAGTATCTGCATAAACAAAAACATCCACCTATGGAGCTATGGAGCTGCGGTGGCTCAAGTGGTTCAGACGCTGAACTGCAGGCTGTGGAAGGTCAGTAGTTCAGCAGTTCGAGACCCATGAGTGTGCCGCATGACGGAGTGAGCTCCCGTCTCTAGTTCCAGCTCCTGCCAACCTAGCAGTTCGAAAGCAAGAAATTGCAAGTAGATAAATAGGTACCACTTCGGTGGGAAGGTAACAGCGTTCCATGCGCCTTGGTGTTTAGTCATGCCGGCCACATGACCACGGAAACGTCTTCGGACAGCACTGGCTCTTCGGCTTTGAAACGGAGATGAGCACCGCAACCCTAGAGTCGGATTCGACTGGCTTTCGAGCAAGGGAACCTTTACCTTTACCTTTTTATGGAGAATTATAACCTAAGAGAAGCCAATGTTGGATTAGGTCAATGGCCCATCCAGTCCAACACTCTGTCACACAGTGGCCAAAAATACCACGTGCCGTCAGGAGGTCCAGCAGCGGGGCCAGGAGGACACTAGAAGCCCTCCCACTGTTGCCCCCCCCCAGCACCAAGAATACAGACCATCTCTTGCCCCAGACTGAGAGTTCCTGTCTAGACCTTGTGGCTAATAGCCGCTGATGGACCTCTGCTCCATATGCTTATCTAATTCCCTCTTGAAGCCGTCCGTGCTTGTAGCCGCCGCCACCTCCTATGGCACCACCACCACCTCATAGATGAGAGTGGTTATTTCAGGCCTGCCTCAAAGCCCTATAAAATTAGCAGTCACATATCTGAGCAATGCTGAGCAGTTTCCAGAAAAATAAAGAGTACAAGATACGAAATGTCATTCAGACTGAGAAATGGAAGAAATCTGCACTGCACTGTAGTTGCAAGGACCGGGGTGCGTGAGGGGGTGTGTGAGATGTTTGGGATCCTTCTGATTTCCCCCCTACACACACACAGACACACAGTCTTGTTTAAAGCTCTGGGACTTTGTGTGCTGGCTTCAGGCTGCAGTTTCCTTATGATCAGAGCTCAAGCTGACCCAGAACATGTCATATTCCCCTTGCAGATAATCCGCGATCAAATCTTGCAGGAGTACTGGAAAATCAAAAAGGTGAGTGGGCCGGCCTTCACGGTAGCAGCACAACAGGCCTCCACTTGAATGTGCTTGCAGAGCGAGAAGACTCTCTCGCCTTCCCTCTGAGACTGCCAGGGAGAGGCGCTTCTCCTTCTGCCTGAACCATACTTGAGATGCTAGAAGCCTGCCCATTCCTCTCTGCTCCCTGTCCCCTCTTTTGGGCTTCCTGTTTCTATTCCGCGCCCTTCCCTTAGCCAGCTTCCCCTCCCTCTGGTGCCCTCCAGCCCTCAGCCTGCTCCACAGCATTACTCTAATTCCCAGGATCGCTCTGAGGTGTCCAATCCCGGCCAGACTCGGCAGCTTCCCTCACAGAAGCCTGCAGGCGTTCTGAAGGCTTTGTGGTTTAGGATGTTCTCTGATGTTCAGCAGCTCATCCAATTGGCTTTGCCACCTCAGGACTGGGGCGGAGCTTTTGCTCAGTGAATGGTTGACTCTCATAGGAACTCCAGTCCTCTTTGGAGGGCAGTGCTTCAGTCCCCCAGCCGACTCTTAGGCTAGTCAGGTGGCAAGGGCCTGGTCAGTTGTGGCGCCAAAATTTTGGAACCCCCTCCCCCAGGGAGATTCATCTGTCTCTATCCATGCCTTTGGCCAGCAGGTGAAGTCTTCTCTGTTTGGCGCTTCCTCATTGACTCTTCTCCCGTTTTGTTTTCCTCCATACGTCCGTACTTTAATGTTTTGACGTTTTTATTGTTTGCTGCCTTTGGGACCCTAAGTTGGGTGGGACAGCAGCCATAAAACGTTTGTAATCAAATAAATAGTGTTCGGGCTCAAACGGTTTCGGTCCCCGGCGTCTCCATGTGGAAGGATCTACGGTAATAGGCACTGGGGACATTGGAACATCAACACAGCCCCACTGGATCGGACCAGTGAGGGTCCATCTAGTCCAGCCTCCTGTCTCACACGGTTCCCCTGGAGATCCAACAACAGGGCACAGAGGCTGAGGCCTTCTCCTGATGTTGCCTCTTGGCTCTGGGATTCAGAGGCTGACTGCCTCTGGAAGGTCTGTTTCCTAACCATGACCAGTGTTCCCTCTAAGCTGAATTAGTGTGAGCTAGCTCACAGTTCTTTAGCCTCCAGCTCACAGATTTTTGTTCTAGCTCAGGGAGTATGGCTCCAGAGCAAACTAATTTATGCAGCAGCCAAATCGCTCGCTCACGACTTTAATGCCAGTAGCCCACAAAGTAGAATTTCTGCTCACAAGACTCCACAGCTTAGAGGGAGCATAGTAGCCATGAATCAGTCTAATCTCCTTTTAAGGATGTCTGTGCCTGTGGCCATCTCTACATCCTCTGGCAGTGAATACTACATTGTAATCACTTGAGTAAAAAAGTCCTTCCTTCTGTCTATCTGACATCTACTGCCCATCACCTTCATTGGCTGCCCCTAAGTTCTAGTATTTTGGGAAAGGGAGAAAAAGTTCTCTCTATCTACCCAATGTGTAATTTTATAAACCTCCATCATGTTCCCCCTTAGTTGTCTCTCTCCTAAACTGAGAAGTCCCACAGACTCTTCAGCCTTTCCTCCTAGGAAAGGTTCTCCAGTCCCTTAATCATCTTGGTTGCCCTCTGTGCTTTTCCCAGCTCTGCAATGTCCTTTTTGAGATAAACTTTGCACAGTGCTCCAAATGGGGTCACACTCTTCATTTTTACAGGGACATTACAGTATTGGCTGTTTTATTTTGATCTTTCCTAATAATCCCCAGCATGGAGTTTGCCTTTTCCGTTGCACATCAGCTTACACTGGTCTGTGCTGAACTTCATTTGCCACCTGCCCACTCACACAATTTGTGGAGATCTTCCTAAGAACTCTTCACTTTCCACCTTGGTTTTCACCATCCTGAGTTATTTGGTATCATCTGCAAACTAGGCTACTACACTGCTCATCCCTAATTCCAGTTCATTTAATGAACACATTAAACAACACTGCCCCCAGTACTGATCCTTGTGGGGCCCCACTGCTCACTTCTCTTCTTTGTGAGAACTGTTGTTTTACTCCTACTTTTTGTTTCCTGCCATGTAACCAAATTTTAATCCATAAGAGGGCCCATTTTTATCCTCTGACTGCTAAGATTACTCAGGGGTCTTTGGTGAGGTACCTTGTTGAAAGCCTTTTGAAAGTGCAAGTATATAATGTCTACCAGGTCACCATTGTCTACCTGCTTGTTCCCTTTCTTAAAGAACTCCGAAAGGTTGACGAGGCAGGACTTCCCTTTGCAGAAGCCATGCTCATTTCCCCTCAGCAGGCTTTGTCCCTCTAAGTGCCTAAGAATTCTATCTTTGATTACCATTTCTGCTGATTTGCCTGGGACAAACATTAGGCTGACGGGCCTGTCATTTCCTGGTTCCCCTCTAGACCCCTTTCTAAAAATGGGTGTAACGTTTGCTACTGTCCAGTCTACTGATACATCAGCTGATTTTAGTGCCAAGTGGTGTATATGGGTTAGCAGATCATCAATCTCAAATTTGAGTTCCCTAAGAGCTCATGGCCTGACCTGAGCGGCCCAGGCTAACCCAATCTTGTCAGATCTTGGGGGCTAAAGAAACGAAAAAAATCACTGCGTACAAAAATTTTACCACTATCAATTGTAAATGAACAGTCAATAAAATAATGAAGATTTACTGAAAGTAGTGTATGTATTATTTGTTAAATTAAACATATATAAATCACTATCAGATTATAGAAAAATTGCACAAAAATGATTACAGCAAAGCATACCATAGAATTCTGAATCAATACAGATGTCTATAACAGGAAATTAAAAAGAAACCAATTTCACAGTAGAAGACAGGGTCATAGGCGGTTGTAGCTACTCATTGAACAAGCCGTTTTAATGCTTCAGTGAGACCAGCGTTCCGGTGAGCTGTGCTGTGCTGACAGGAAGCCTCGGTCTGATCTCGTTTACGTCAGTTCTTCATCAGAGCCTGATTTGAGTGATTGATTGGGTTTATATCCCGCCCTTCCCCGCAAGCGGGCTCAAGGTGGCTCACAGCATGTAAAGATAACAATGTAAAAGATCAAAACACAGTACAGTAAAAATTGAAATTCGGCTCTATACATATAAATCAGCAGATGGCGATAATCCCATTTAAATACTTTCAGAGACTTGAACCCGCTGGACGGGCACTCAGACGTGCTGGATTTTGCAAGTGGACAAATTCCCACCAGTTCATTTATGAGCATCTCTGTGCATAGTGCGGTAAATAGAACGGGAGAGCGTGCGTGAGGGTCTGGTCGGGTGTCGGCCGCCTCAACTAGAGGCCTGGCGCCAAAGATACAGTATTCTCAAAGCTGGAACCCGTCCCGAACTGTACTGAAGCATGCCAATTGCGGGCTTTTCCTGAAGCACTGAAACTGTCTTTCCGTCTACTGAGGTTGGCAAAAGGTTCGTAGATCGTCTCAAGTTTGAGTTCCCTAAGAGTCCCCTGACCTGGACGGCCCAGGCGAGCCCAATCTTGTCAGGTCTCAGAAGCTAAGCAGGGTCGGATGGGAGACTACCAAGGAAGCCCAGGGTTTCTGTGCAGAGGCACCTCTCAACCTCTTGCCTTGAAAGCCCCCTGAGGGGTTGCCGTAAGTCAGCTGCAACTTGATGGCACTTTCCACCCACCCCACCCTCCACCAAGAACTCTCGGGTCTATGCTCTCACAACCCAGAGACTTCACTGTTCTTAAAATCTCCCCAGTAGGTCTAGAACTTCATCTCTCATCACCTCAGCTTGTCTCGGGTCTTCTGACTCCCTCTCTGAGAAGAGTTGCTCTGACCTCCTGGGTACGCGACCCATGCTTCCCACAGTGAACATGGATGCAAAGAATTCATTGTGCCTCTCTTGCCATTCCCCCATCTTCCTTTAGCCATCCTTTTTATCCCTTAGCCCTCCAAAGACCCGGCCGCGTCTCTGGCTGGTTTCCTGCTCTGGATATATTTAAAGAAGTATTTGTTTCTCTCGATGCTTTGAGCAACCCGCTCCTCCAGCTCTCCTCGCCTGCCGCAGTCCCTTTTGTCACTTTTAAAAAAAACAAAACCAATCTCTCCTTGCAGACGAACCCCAATTACAGCCAGGAGAAGAACCGCTGCGAATATCTTCACAACAAACTAGCCCACATCAAAAGACTGATAGCCGAGTACGACCAACAGCAGTTCCAGTCTTGGCACTGATGTGGGGGCTGAGGGAGAAGCGCCCAGTGGACACGATCCTGTGAACCGTTTCCAAAAGGGGGGAGAGGAAAGAACTGAGATCCTTGCTGTGCTGACAGTGACTGCCGGGCTTTCAGAGCCTGAGGAGGTCAGGATCCACCGCCACGATTCCTGTTCTTCTGCTAGAGGAACCGGCCTGCCAGAAGTCTCCGCGGCCTGGGGACAGTCTCATATATTCTCTCTCTCTCTCTCTCCTCTCTCTGTCTTTCTCTCTCCCCCCCCCCCGATATTAACACCAACATCAAAGGAAGGCAAGGTTGCTTGTTTCTGAATGCCAGCCAGTGACTCAGGAGGGGGAAGGATCTCTGTATGGCAGGAGTTTGAATGTCTTCACAGGTTTAGGTTCCGGGCTGGAATTGAAAGGTTTCTGGGGCAGATCCTGTGCCACTGACCGCACCCAAAAGGCAAAGGCTGTGGGGGTGACCCACTCCCCCCCCCCGGGAAGTGAGGAAGTGCCTCTGTCTGTGCCGGTTGTCCATTCAGTGCTTGCTGAACTCTGAGCTCTTACCTTGTGTTGTAATTTGGCTCTGTGTTCCACCAAAGGGGGTCCACAGGTGAGCCCCTGGTTTGTACTGTGGCACTTGGCCGGATCGCCTGGCTTTGTGTGTCTCCCTGCAGCACAAGGAATTGTTGGTGTGGGGGGGGGGGGGGGGGCTCAGTTCCAGCTCGTGTTGTTGTGTACACAGCATCCACTTTTAATGACCGCGGGAACTGGTCTTCCCCGGTTTCTGCAGAAAGCCCCATCTTGTGGCAAAGAGCCCCTCCCTCTTGCCATGTGTGAACCAGAATTCCCTTCCCCCACCCCAAAAATGTGGAGGTGTTCCCATTCATTACCTTTGAAACGGAACGTGTGTAAGAAACAGGGAAGGTGTCAGTAGGTGGATTGGGGGTGGTGGTGGTGGTGGTGTGTTTTTATCCTTTTGGTAAATCTCCCAAAGAAACTGCAGAAGATCAAAGAATGCACCCGGGGGAGGTGGGGGGGATGCCTGAACAACCATGGAAAACCACTCCCATCTCAGTTGCCCACCCAAACCAGACAAGTCTCCACCTGGGCAGGGTCAAGCCCTTCTGGCTTTTCTGCGAGGGCTTGTGGCTTTATTCCAGTCATGAATAACGGCGGCAGCCTTTCCTGCACACTGGGTAGCCGTTGGGTGGCTCTTGCTTCTGGCCAGTTTCTTGTGCTGGCCCCCCTGATGGGCACCTCCCCCCCCCCCCCGGCCAGGCTCCAGTCCACGGTTTGGAAAGGTTGGTGTTTGCCACGGCTCTCCTTGCTGTCTCTGAAGCAGATGAGGCCGCAGGGTAGGGTGGGCTGGAGGGTCAGGGAAGATGGGCTGAGAGCGGGGGGGGGGCAGCAGATGGTTTTCAAATGTGAAAATACTGGTGCTTGCAGGGGGGGGGTGGCTTCCCCCACCTATCTGCTGCTGTGGGTGAGTGCCGAAGCAGTCAACTGGAGATTGGGGCAGCCTCTCTTTTTTGTAATTGTGGGGAAGAGAAGGGCAGGCATTTGCAGGGTGTAAATCCACCCCCTCAAAGTCTGTGCCACTTCAAGGCCACCCCCGGAGGTGGTGAGTGGGTTTTTTCAAAGTTGCCAGGGAGGTGGACGTCTTTCGTGTTCTGGGTGGGTGCAGTCAAGGCAGCCAAGGACCAGAAGGTGGCCATGGGCCCAAGAATGTTCTGGGAAAGGCGCCTCCCCCCATTTTAATCTGTGAGCAAATCTGCATCTGTGAATGAATGGTTTTGTCCTCTTCCTCTCAGACTCTTGGGCCGTGTCACTTTGGAGGCGCAGCTATTTTATCTGTAGGGAAGGGCAGCTTTTAGCAGGATGTCTCTGCACCACTGCAGGAGTTTCTTTCTTTTATTTGCTACAAACCAACGACCAAGGTAATCCTGTAAAAAAAATACCCAGCAAAGTTCTTCTCGGAGACCAGCAGCAAAAATAAATGGGGGGATGGTGAGGTGCCTGGACAAGAAGAGGAGACCGCCTCCACCATACCGTAATACTTAGTAAAGTTGCCTGGGGGGTGGGGGTGGCGTATCTGAATATTTTTGGAGGGAAATTATTAAAGAGATGGATCACAATACTTTATACAATTTAACCTGCTATATATATTTTTGCAGATGAGAGTTGGATACAAAGATGTATTGTGTACATTACACAAGTGCGTGTGTTTTTTTCCTGTGTGTACATAAAAAAAAATAAATATATTCTGGAGTTTTCTAGAACTTGGAATAGAAAGATATTTAAGTGGCTGTCCAAAAAGGAGGGGGAAAACTGTGACTTTTACTGTTTTCATTCATGTGTTTAAAGGAGCATAGTTTTATTTTGTTTTGTTTTTTGGGGGGGGGTTAAGCCTTTTATTTTTATTTTTTTTCCCTTTTCAGCAATTTGCAGCACAGAGGCAAAAACTCGTGCTTTCCTTCGGAAGGGGAGTTTGAAGAAGCCTGTTCATAAGTTGATTGAATATCGTCTAACTTATTTATAAAGTGTGTTACTTTTCTAATTGAAAGACATAAAAAAATATTCCTTGAGCCATGGAGTTTTGTTTACAAAAACAGGGGGGTTTTTTTTTGGGGGGGAAAGCTTTTCAGTCTGCCAAAATGTTAGCATTTACGAACGGCATAAATTATTATCAGCTTTCCTAATTTTTTTCTTCTTTAAAAACTCACATCTGTATCTCTTTTTGTACACACTTTGGGGGGGGGGATCCACATTGAATGCTGATTTTTTTTTTTGCAATGTATAATAAAGTTCATTGTACTGGACGTACTAAACTTTGTATGCAGACGTTTTTCACTGCGCTGCTTGGCACACATGCCGCACTTTGATTCGTGCATTCCTTGCAGTCCATGCAGCAACCCTGCCAGGTCAGGCCAGTGTTGTTCCCCCCCATACTGCGATCCGAGTGCTTGAACTGTCTAGAGTTCCCAACCTGGTGCCCCAGGGCGCCATGGTGCCTGCTGACAATTTTCCTGGCACCCGCCAAGGGCTTTTAGAAAGTGGGCGGGGTTAGCAAGGCTTCTGATGGGCTGTGTGAATTTTTTTAAATGTTACTTTGGCAGCAGCTGCCACCACTGCACGAGAGATCTTCACTGTATGGCCGAAGCTCAGCTGTGGCAGCCATTTTGTGGCTGCGCCTACCACGCTGTGTCGGAATTCCCACAGGTGCAAAAGGGTTGGGGGACACCTGGTCTAGATAGGCGACGATAGAGGGAAGTTCTGAACTGGGTTCCTCCCAAATCTCTGTTTCAAAGTTTGTTGTATAAATATTTTAGAAGGGGGAGCACTAAGATGTGCGTGGCCCTTGGCATGGAAGTCTCTGATGTTTGTGCCTCTTAACATTTATAAGAATACAAAAATGGGGAGGAAGGGAAATCAGAGAGAGCTGCGAGGAGCATTTTCCATGAAGGAACAGAGAGGGGCAAGAGAACGGCAGGTGCAGAGAGGGGGTGTTCCCTATCTGGCACGGTGGGAGTCTCCAGCTTGGGGAAGAACCGCCTGCTGAAGGTCTCCTTGTCGGTGGCAGAGGCAAGATGCGACGCTGCTTTCGTTTCATGAGTTAAAATGGCTGCCCAGGTGGGCATTGCATCTGGGCTGGATTTTGAGGTTTGGCGTTGCTCTCCAAGATGGGACGCATTGATGCCACAATTCTGTGGAAGTTCGGAATGCAAAATTCAGCTTCTGGAGAGAGTGAATTAAAAAAAAAATCACCGCCTTTGGCCCTCATAATCACCAACAGATGTGGGAAAGGCCAGGGGCTGATTTTTCGGGGCCAGAGGGCATGCCTTACCCCACCCCTTGAGTCAATGGATGCAGATCCGGAATTGTGCGTCTTTTGTGTCAAACTGCAATAGGTCGCTTGATACACTTGCACAAACCTTGCTCAGACGGATGGCTTGAAAGGAAGGTTAGAAAGGCTCATCTAGTTGCTTCTGTTGTATGTCTTGATGACTAGAACTTCCAGCATCAGAGGCAGTCTCTGTAGTCTGAGAGCTAAGTCCTGCCAGGGGGGTCGCTGCAGCCTTCATACCCTGCTTGGGGATTTCTTGGTCTTATCAGGGTGACTGCTGGTGAATGAGATGCTGGAAGTCATGAACTGGCCCTTTCTTATGGGAAATGGGTATACTTTCTGGGTTAGAGTATGTCATAGCTTAATTTTTTTTGGGGGGGGGTTGCATTGTTTTCCAATTCTGTCATCCTGGTTCTATTGCATTTTTATGGTTTCTTACACTGCTTGTTGCTCCCTATGTTTGTAGTCCACCTTGAGTCCTAGTGAAAAAGGTGGGGTTATGTAATCAAGTAAAAATATTGTAGGCGGTTAACCTCGAGAGCTCTGTGGGCAGGAGCAGTCTATCTCTGTCTAATGGATGCTGGCTGTTCCCATCAGTCTGATTCCTCTTTATGTCTCTGTATATACTCTGTTTCCCAACTTCAGGCAGTTCTTCAGCAACCCTTTCAAGGAGTTCCAAACTCTCAGTCATTCAGAGAGTGGTTGAAAGAAGTGTTTACAACTGTGATGGAGACGTGATGGCCATTCCTGAGGTGGGTCGAGCTCTGTCTGGCCCAAAGGGTGCACGGCTCTCACGTCCCTTGAGCATTTCAACTGGCACGAGAACACCGTTGGCTGGAGAGGCCGCAGACCAGACTGGGTTAGCCAAGCTGGAACTTTCCATCTGGTTCAGGCAGTGACTCCCGCTTCGCCCATTGTCTCAGCCTCCTGCCCCAGGAGAAGCCACTGTGCCAACTTGAACTGTGCACGGAATGCAAACACCCAGGCGGGCAGCTGGCTGAGGCGGCTGCTTGGCTGCCGCTCCTTTTGAACCAGGCCGGGGTGGGAAGTGGCCCCCCACTTGGCCCAGGCCAAGGCTTTTCCAGAACATTCCACTTGGGACACTGGGCCAAGCGGAGATATGTGTCGGTCGGAGGAATCTGCCTTGAGCTGCCACTGTCCGCGCCACAGAGCGCTTTCCCACTGGCATCTGACTGACGCAATCCGATGGCCTTGTTCCCTCAGGAGCCCCAAGTCACACACTCAGCCCAAGTGTGCTGATCTGTTCCAACAGGTGCCTGTCCTGAAAAGCCTTTCTACCATTCTTAACATTTCCCACAAGGCCAGTGTGTGTGGTGAGCAAGGTGAACGATGAATGAAGTGTGTGGTTTCTCCTCCACCACCACCACAGGTCCCATCTGGCCTAGCCTCCCCGTTTCATGCACACAGGATGT